TAAAAGTCCCGAACATATGGTCAGTAGACCCGAGATGGGCTTTATGAATCAGTGAATATGTCTAAGAAATATATGTTAACGCCCTGTCCGAATTAATGAATATGTTGATATTAAAAAACAATAGTATATACTTTACTGCCAATGATTAGAACCGTCGCTTCCAGAAGTATATAGGCACCTTAAAGAATTTCCTAATGAGGATTTGGTCAATCACTTAGTTAAGAAATATTGCGCTTTTGGCTTTGTATCAAGGGCTCCATTAATACATATACCTGCATTCATTAAACAGCTTTAAAAACCATTGCCTCTTCTTTTGTTGTATATCCTGATGGTTATATACTGATGATAAGCGGGTGCTTAGGTCAGAGGATGAACCGGATTCTGGTGACGATATATTTTTAGATCGTGCGATTGGCATATTGTCCATTAATTACGTCGTTTTATGTTTTTATTAAATGCTATATGTAATCAGGTAGATAAAAAAAATCTAATGATCTGCGGATTCGAATTATAACATTAGGTTGTTTATGATTTGATTCAGGCCTTTATTTTATTGGCTCAATTTTTTGTTGATCGGTAAGTTCATATGTCTTCCAAGACAGATTCCACCAAAATTGATAGTATTATCTTTACACAAAAGAATTGGCTAGAGAATTATTTGTTACACTTAGGATGATCATCAAAGAAAATTCTCATCCGTAAAAGAAATAGCGAAATTACTCAAAATATTAGTAAGATAATCATTTTTGAGATCTTAACAAATGTTGTTTCACTAGTCTTTCCGCAAATAGTTGCTTAGAACCTCAAAGACGCTTCAAAACATAGTTTTTGAGCTGCGGCGCTCCGAATTTGCTGCGCCGTTCAAAACTATATATGCGTTTTAAGAATTCTTAGGAAAAAGAAAAAAGTATTCTATAGAAAATATAGCTAAAACTAATAAATATTAATAAATTTTGATAATATATGGTTGTATCTATCAAAAATTAATAAAATTTTCTAAAATTTTAGTAACAATAGACATCTTAAAAGTTTTAAACAAAGAGAATGAGTTTATGCACCTTACACAAACCAGTGCCTCAAGAATCGATCAAATCTGATGCACAAACCACCTAGGGGTCAAGGTTCTTAGTACAAAAACAACAGAATCCCTATCAATTGTTACAGATCACAAACAAGTTCAGGTAATCTTCAATTGGTTAGAATACAAACTGAACTCTTCAACTGCCACACTAAACTCTTTGATTGAAAGCAAACTACTTCAAAACAAAAAAATGACTTTATAGAAGAAACAAACCTTAGAATCTCTATAACAGATCATTATTCCTGAACTACATTTAATTGTATTATTATCAACACAACCAGAAATAACCTACCATTAATCAAGCTAATTCTTAATAAGACATCTTAGCATAATGGAGACCAACACTTTAAATCAATCAAGCAAATTAAGAAAATAATATTAAAAAAAAAAAATCCATTTCAGCAAAAGTTTCAAGACATATTATTCAACTCCACAAAAGTCTTTGGGCAAGAGCCAATCATTATCAAAACATTAAACAAGATTAAAAATATTCTTATCAAAGAAAGGCTTAACAATATCAAAGAACATTATACTAAACAAGTACAAAAAAACATTATCAATAACTATATTAGGTTTTGGAAAAGACCAAAGAGCTTCACCAAAAGTGCACTAGGAAACCTCAAGTCTTTACTTGATCTTAACTTTATACAGAACAATCAGGGCATCCTTATAGATGACTTAGATGAAATAAAAACTATTATAATTAACCATTTTAAAAACATTCTTGCAAGCAGCAACTTCATATTTCTAACTTGTATTGGTTTTAAAAATACTAGCCAATCAAATTTATTGAAGAAAAGTTTATGACAACACATGCAGTTTAATTGATTTTGGCAAATTTAATAACATACTTAAAGATCTGTCTGCAGATAAGACCCCAGGTAGCTCAGGAATTATATATGAAATAATTGATTTCTTCGGAAATACCTCAAAACAAGTACTACTACATAGGGTTTCTAATGGTACTATTTAGATACCAAGTCGGTACTGAATTTACTATGAGTTTAATATAGTGGATCACAATTCATATATTAACTTTATAATAAATTAGTATCAAGTTTGTATCATTTTGGTACACAGTTTGGAACTCTACTATTACAGTTATATGATAAAGTTCTTAATGAGAAAACTACTTCACCAGGTTAAAAAAAATCCACAAGCATATTATTACAAAAAAAGATGATATGTACATGAAGAATTTCAGACACACACCCCATATCATTAATTGAGTTAATAAGAAAAGTTTTTATTAAAATTATCAACATCAGGTTATCAAAAACCCTAAGTAAAAACAATATTTTGTCAAGGGCTAGCTTTGTCAGACTAACTGACCAAAGCACAATGGAATCTTTAAAATTGCAATATCAATTTTGAATACAGCAAAAAACCTGAACAGTGAGCTCTAGCTAGTCTCTTTTGATATCGCAAAAGCATTTGACTCAGTAAACCTTAGTAGTCTAAATATAGCCTTAAAAAGAGTCAAAATTTCAAACAAACTCATCAATATTTTCCATAGCCTACTTAATAAATGAAAGCTCTCAGTGGCAAAAAACTTTGGTAACATCAGCAAACTGGAGGTATTAAAAGGCTTGGATTAGGGAGAGATACTTTCACCACTCCTGTGAATCATATTCTATAACTCAATGGTAATAACAATCCAGAACTATTCTAAACATTCACTCATTCTATACAATATCCTTACATATATAGATGATATACTATTAACAGTGTATTTTCTGAAAAATCTCCAAAAATTAATAAACATCTTTTACTCTTTTCTCAATCTCAATCATATTAGATACAACTCAAACAAAACAATGCTAATAACCACATTAGCTAATAAAAACACCTTAAGAGATTCAAGTCTGAAAATAGCAAAAATATTAGTAAAGCTTCTAAACTCCAAAACTTCTTTTCATTACTTGAGAAATTTTTTTGCAAGAGACCTAGCCAGAAATATTTCAAACCAAATTTGTATTGAATATCTTAGTCAAATCTTGAAAGCATACCATAAGCAAAAGTAAAATAGTTTAATAACTAAGCAAATGTTAGATTGGATCATTCCAAGCAAGCTTAAATATACTCTTATAACAACAGTTTTTTCAAAATTGCAAGCACAAAACCTTTAGATCAAGACAAATAATATAATAAAGCAAAAATTCAAAATAGAAAGAACAATTTCAAATAAATTGTATTCTCACAAGCCAGACTTATTTTAGTCTACCTAATGGACAAACAAGAACTTACTTTAACAAAACTTCTTATCATCAAACTTACTAATACAAAAACTTGAAAAGTCATAACAACAGAAATCAACTTTCTGCAAGCCAGCTGTATCATTTGGCTCTGTCCAATTTGCTACTCAGAAAAATTTCCTGAAACTTAGATTACCCAAGCTGCCACAGCATGCACAAAGTATCAAATTAATGTTTGTCCCCCTACATGCCCTTTTAACCATTTCAAAGATGAACAGTTCCTTGGATTCTACTACTTCTTTCGCAATAAGTATCTAAAGTATCAAGCTCTTGGATTATACAGAGGAGGCATAAAGTTTTTAGAAGATCTGTTGGTGTTCCAGTCAAGTAAAAAACTAATCAAGTAGAAAACTAATCTGGTATGAGTTCAATACGCATTTTCACCCAATGCTAAAGGGTCCAGTTTCCAATTGATTTACTAGCATTGATACTGGACACAGATATAAAGAAATTTTAATCTGTATTCCAAATGCAAAAGCCAGATTCTGGGCATATGTCAAAAATAACAAGCTAAATTTTATCAAAACAAGAATCTATTGTAATAATATGCAGCCTTTAATAAAGGAAAGCTATTAAAATTAGAAGCAAGAAATATTCTTAGGAAATATTAATGTCATACTAGCGAATCTCAAATAATTATTACAGTCAGGAAAGCAATATCCCTTTGGTCATATAAGGCAAAAAATGAACATTGTTTGGCCAATGCATTAGAAAAGATTTGGTTTTATCTATAGAGCAAGTTCATCCCAAGTATCAATTTGCAAGTGAAAATCAGTTTCTACGCACATCAAGAGCTGTCAATATAACTCAACACCAATACAATAGAAGACCTCAAGCAAGTAATCAACTTTAATAGACTTTTTCTTTACTTTAGTTTCAAGTTCAAAAAAGAACTCTTAATAGTATATAGTCATAATACAAATGTTACTTTTCACTTAGAAAATACACAACCAATTAACCTGCTATTAGAGGTAATTAAATTAATAGAAGCTGCTAACAATTAATCATATATAATAATAAATCTTCTGAAAAAATTAAATCTGTGTACTCCAAATTATTCCAATCTAAAGATTAAATTCTTATATAGTTTTTTGGTAAAAACAATTAACTCTATATATAATCTCAAAAGCATAAGGCTAAGGCTAAACTCAAATAAAATTATATCAAATTATCAAGACAATGGTACAATTATTAGAATTGACAACATTATTAAGCCAGTAAGCTATATACTAAGCCCAAAAATCAACAACAAGTGGAGTTATAGTTCAATTATATGGATCAAAAAAATTCAGTATACATTTAGACTTATCAATATTATAAACAGTTTATCAATTAGCAACAGATGGAGAGTTAAACTAAAGGTGCCTACAATCCAAATTCTTATCAAAACAAACAAATTTTTAATCAAAAAGGACAAAGTAAGCTGCTTCCCCCTCATAGCTTTTAAAGCAAAATTACCAAGTGGAACATTACCATCAAAATAGCTCTTGCATGAATATTATTTAAACATATATAGACAAATTATATTCCAGATGCCTTACAGAAGTGGAAACTCAAGGCCATATCTTTGAATATTATAAAAACATTACAGCCTATAAGGAGATCGAAAACAAATTAAAATCTAGTATAATTAAACTTATTAGAAAAAGCAGCTTCAAAAAAAGCTAACCAGATACAAAAGATACTGTATACAAAATGAACTTGGAACAAAAAGCCAGGCTGAATAAAATAACATACATCTATCTGCTACTAGCCAAGAAAACCGGCAAATAAAGCACTAATCCTATTATTTTCGCTAATTTGAGTTCCAATATCAGCAATAGCCAACACATCCACAGTATCAGAAATCAAGTAAAAAAACAGCATTTCTTCAGTCAGCAACATTGGTAAAAGGCAAACACAACAGATATTATTAAATAATACAAGCCTGCTAAATTTAATAATGAAAACAACAGATCTACAAACCAGCTCCAATAATAATTTTATCAAATCACAAGTTTTAATCTCAGCTTTGAAAAGATGTTAACCATCCAGTACTAAAGTAAACCTAAAGTATATTAAGTGTGTTTAAGGTAGCAATAGTTAGTAGTATAGATAGGTTAATATTAATTTACAAGTTTAATTCTGTAAAGATGTTTGATGTAATTTAGATATATTATATATATTAATAAAGTTTTATATCTGATGTCCTTCTAATGTTAAAAAAAAAAATAATTATTATTTAAAATAAATCTTTTTATCTTTGTAATAACTTAGATTGTATTTTTGTCTTTGAGTTAATAAAATAATTATATTTTCTAAATCTTGTGATTTAATTGTTGACTTGAATACAACTCATTATTTAAACTGTTATAATATATTTAAACTCTTATAATTTTCTTTTTCAGATATAAATGATATATTTATTAGATCAAGTTTTTCATTTGATATGCAATTTCTAGTAAAAGTAACAATAGCTAATCATATAAAACTAATGTTGAATAATTGCTGTCTTCTAATAATTCTGTAATTTTAGTAAATGGAATTAAAAGTATAATCAAATCTTTCAAAATATTTTATTCTTTATCAATAAGTATTATACTATAGATGTTAATTGATTTGCATCTTTATAAATATTATAATTCAAATCTGCATTCATAGTCATATTCATTAATTTTATTGATCTTTAAATTGAATAAGTCCTTTTCATGCAATATATAAAAATCTTTAGTATATAGAAGTATCAGAAATTGCTTGAAAATAAAATTCTCTATTATTATTACTTTTTTTTTCTTGCACTTTTTTAATTGCTCATTTTGTTTAAATATTAAAAAACTAATTAATTGTTTGCCTATTTGCTAAAACTTTTGCTAATTTTAATCCTTTTCCAATAGCAAGTTGAAGTATATATGTTATATAAAAAATTAATTCTATTTGATTCATTAAATTAATTGCTTTAATTATATTAGCCACATTATTAGTTGTAATTGAAATTATTTTTTTTGACAGATTCCAATAATTAACAATGTTTTTTTATTCCATTTTAATAGTTATTGTATTATAAGAATATGTAATATATTTAATTACAAAAATAACTTTTTTTAATTCATAGTTTAAATTGACAAAATAATATGTAACTCCTATATATTCACTTTTGAAACATGCAATTCATAAATCACATGTTAAGCGACATGTTTTAAGATTTGTTGCAAAATAATTTTAAATATATTCAACTAAGTAGTTATAATGTTAATGTATTTGTATTTTTAATTGCTTATTAGATGGAAATTCATAATATTAATTTAACATATTAATAAAATGAATAAAATCTTCATTTTGCTAAATATGAAGAGGTTGTGAATTTGTAATAATCCATTTAACTAAATCTTGATCAATAAATTCCTTTTGTTATCCAGTAATAAATTAATGACTTTGAATAGTTGATAATTGCATACTTGTATCATTAACTTGAATCAGTTTGATAATTCCATGAGTATTTAAATGTGCTTGAAAATTGCTAATTAAACCTTGAGTTTGAATTAGCTGTCCACATTCTTGTTGTCCATTTGGTAATTTTTTATTTTTAATAAGTACAATACAATTTGCATATTTTTTCTATTTTTGTAATGATCTTTTATGAAAATATTGCCAAACCCAACTGGAATTTTTTTGTATCTTTTGAATAGTATTTGTATTGATAGATTCCACATTACTATTATATTCACTTAATGTTTTTACTAAAGTTTCAATAGTGTTTTCAGAATCATAATTTTCATAATTTTGTACTTCTGTTTATTTGTTTTTACATTTTGGCATCTTATAAATAATAAAGAAAAAATTTTATGTAATTAAAAAACTTTACTTATTGTCAAGATACTTACTATTAAAATCACAATTAATTTAACTATAATTACAAATAGTTTCTTTTTTGACTTATAATTTAACTTCTGTAGTATAAAGGAATTTCAATGTTAAATTGGTTTTTTTTGTATTCCGAATAGAATAATTTAAAATATTAAATAAACGTTCATGGTAACAAAAATAAAATCTCAGATAGTGACACCATAATATAGTAGCTATTTCTGGCTATAAAAAATATCGATGATAATATTTTAATACGGAATTTAGATATAAAATCTGGTACTGTTCCTATGTTAAAAATAAAGCTTGGATCCAAATATATAATCGGATATCTTTATAAGTATTGTTTTTAATTCAGATTTATGATATTTATTCAGGTATATAATTAAATATATTGTTTTGATCCATTTATAAACTAGTATAACTAGATTTCCTATTAAATATTTGGTTTTATATAATTTAAATTTAAATACATGACTAAATTTTTAAATAGAATATTGTAACACGGGAAAGAGTAATGCGCCTTACATGAAATTCTGGGTTCCTCACAGTGTTGGGAAGAAAAACAGCGGTAACAAGCACAATGAGCACAATAGAAACTAGCACGAGCTTGAAAAAGAAGAAAAAAGTTAAGAGAAAGAAGAATCGCGACACAATCACAGTAGTTGCCATGTGACCGGGTCGTGCGAGGATCGAACATGGCACTATGAGAGCAATTAATGAAATTATGTAATAAGAGTAGCATGAAAATCAAATAACAATTGCTTCATCGTGAGATTTCTTATGATTTTACTTAATTTGTATTTATCACTTTTATTATTTAATAAGATTGTAAAAATGTATAAAAGCGAAGAGAAAATTAAATAAAGAAAGATAAGTTGTTGTTTCTCGGCCACAATCAATTCCGCCTCATTATAAGTAAAATACTTAACATCGTTACGCGAAACTAACTTTCCATTAGCGACAGACTCTCCGATCACCGTTACAATATATAACCAAATTTATATTCATTTTTATATTTTATATAAAACTTTTGTAAATTGTAAATGAATTAAATTAAATTTATAAATCTAAATTAATTAAGATATTATATCGTTTTTAATTTTTATAAATAAATTAATAATATAAAAATTTGTATTTAAATTTTAATTTTAGATAATTATATAATACAATTTTTTAATAACGAAATTATTTATTATTTTCAAATAAAAGTTTTACAAATTTTTTAAAATCAGATTTCAAAGAAATTTTTTATTCTTTGGGACAGAGGAGTCTTATTGAATAAAGAATTGTTTATATTCGTATGTTGTTGTTCTAGATACACTGTATCCCAATCTTCCACATCTAGGGCTTGTTGCGGAAAATAATAATTTGAAAATAAGAAAATAGGTGACGCTTCTAACATTCCATTTGAACCTAATGCTACGTCTATATATAAATGGTCTTCTAAATCACCGACTAACCGTTGAACTTTAGAATGCGCATGGGTTTGCAGGGTGAGAGCGGGTTTATATAGCTGATATGCATTTCGTATAAAGTGGTCACGTAAGTTGGCTGTTTAATTGCTTAAGTGAAGGGAAATCACATTTGTTGACGATTGTATGGTTATCTGAATGTGAAAAATTGGAGACTTTTTTAATTTTATAGTTGGATAAGAAATTGGCGCCATTCTGTTACCACCGTTATCCACAGGTTCCTGATGGTGTATGACAATAGAGATGGTGTCAGCGTTACTTAAACCTAATTCACCTCCCCTCCACGGCCTCCCTTCCCAAAGCATTTTTTGAATGCCCATTAATCCTATTTACATGATAAGTAAGAAAGCATTTTGACTATATCACTTTCGTTCGCTTTTTTGAGTTGTACTTCGAACAAAGTTCTTACAATCTACGACATCAACAAATTTTCTTTTCTTTGCAAAAATTCGGATGCTTTAATGCATTACTGCATGTACATTTTACCTCGAGAAGAAAATTCAGGTTCGCATATATCCATCAAATGTATAGTACAGTAGAAGCTTGCGAAAGGCAATACAAGACGGTATTATATGCAAAAAGAATCTCACGATCTATTTTTATGTAACTTAAAGGCTTAGTGATGTTAATAGCTGCCTTTCTGCATATGTTACGAGAATATGTATCCGGGTATTGATTGGAATCTATGTAAGGTCTGTGAAGAGATATAACTACCGTGTAATAAATTTGATTCATATAGGCAGCATAAAAAAGACTATCGATGATAATGATACAATAAGGAATTTAGATATATGTAAAAAAACTGGTACTGTACCTATGTTAGAAAATGCTATCTATTATGTAATCCGGATAATAACCAGATTTATTACATTATATCCGGATTCATAACGGATTTACCACGTCATAGCCGGATATAAATCCGATTTAAATAAAAAAATCCGAATTTCGATACCTTTATCAAAAAAGAATAAGTTATTGTTTAATATCCGAATGTATCCGGATTTTATAAATCGGATCCAAGCCCTACTTTTATCAGCTGTAATCAAGTTTGTGACGGGCCGTGATCTATGCATACAATGTTAACCTAACCGATATATGTTCATGACTGCGCATAAATAAATTACATGAGCGTCACAGAAATAAAACTCTCGAGTTTCGACAGATTTTCCCAAACATTCCAATAGCATCAATTAATTGTTATCCTGTTCATCTAATACCAACAGCTGAATTTGGTATAGATCAATATTGAAATTATTGGCACTCGTTGTATTAGGAACTATCTCAGTATATTCAGCCACAACTGGAACTCTCGCAATGATCGGTGGATCCCAGAATACATCTGATACTGGAATTTTAACTTGGTAGGCAGGAAGGTTTGGTGCATTGCACCCAGTTGCAACTTGAGATCCTTTCTGAAAAGTCCCAAAATCCCACTCTCGGAATTCTTTCACTCCTTGGCGCCAGAGCTTGGCCTATATTCAAAAAAAAAAAAAACTTTTAAGTACAAAACCGCAAAATAATGAAGCATGTGGGCAAGACATACCGTCATCGACCGATGATATTGTCCTTGTGCGTTCTTCATGGTGCTTTTACCATGAATCTTAATCCCAAACACGCATCTCACGTATTGCTGACGCATCCAACGCTGGCACTTGATTTCCCAGGAATTGACGTCTTGATATAAAGCCACCTCACATACTATCCTTGCATGTGGCCCTCCCTATGCAAAATATATTATTAAAACGAATATGATATGTACTAAATCAAAAAACTTACAGTTATATCACCGGGAGGAGGTCCAGGATACGGAAGAGTAGGTTTCGTAACATATTTTTTACTTGGATACACCGCAATATCTGGTGCAATCCTTTCTCCATTTCCAGATGGACAATAATGATCTATAGGATGATGCGAAAATATTAAAAGATAGATACAAGCCAAAGGACTGGCTGGATAGGAATTTACTTACATGGTTGACCCATAACACTTATTGAAGGACTATGAATAACACCATCATTAGGAATTTTAAATACATCCTGTAAATAAGAACCAATGGCCTCATGTTCTCTGCATGCCATATCAATAATGAATGCTGTTATCCGCACCGGCGAGTCTGTCGCAAGGCTTATGTAACAACGGGTAAGTGGGTCTGTCTCGCTTGCAGTACAAAAGGAAACTATGGGCAATAGTATTACTACCTTCTCTCTTTACTTGTTTCCACACTTAATCCTTTCACCACAAGTCTCTATGGTCCTTCTGGATTCTCTTGGAGCGACAAATATTAAATAAGGCAAGTTTATTATTATCGTTGCGCAAGTACAAATGATCGACAATAAAGGTGCTATTACAATGGTTATTATTCTAATTTTCCCTTCTGAGTACACTATCGCTATTTATACTATCTGCGACGCGTATTCACCACTATCGTCGCGCCATGCAACCCATCAAACTTTTGGAGACTCAGTGCCCCACACTGATGCATGATTGATGCGCCATGCGGCCCCCAGACCCCTACCACAAATTTTATGCTAAAAATACGTCGCCATTATCTCTTAATTGAACTTGTATACAGATGACTTACAAAAGTCAAAGAAAGCGTTGTGTGCTTAACTGATACGTTTGAACCAATTTTAAGAAGCAACCTGCAATAAACTCAAGTTAATATAAAGAAAAATAGCGTGCATGATGTTTGCTTACTTATTTCCGTCAAACGGTTTATCTGGTAATTGGAGATCCTTCGAACGTGCTATAGATTGAAAAGACATTCAGAATTAAACTCAATTGGCGTAAAATCTGTCGTGTAATTATCCGGAAACGTGATTGTCAATCAAAAGCTATCCTAACTTCGAACAAAACCCCTGATACAAATGTAAACGAATCCGATAAGACCGAAAATTAAACAATCAGAAAAAAAGTTCCGGTAATAGGTAAGAACTAAGTAATACAAAAGAAGAGGTTTTGGATTATTTATGCAAATAGAAAGGTAAGTGGGAGAAATGTGAATACTATAAGTCCACCAAAAAATATGAAAAATCCTTCGACCATAAAAATCACAGCTCCGACAATAATGGCTATCATTATGGTCCAAAATATGAAAAAGATAATCAGGATGCTGGCGAAGGTGGCCACCAGATATGTGAACCAATAAACAAAATGTTAGGGAACGGGCATTTTATCAACAAATTTATAAATTAATATGATCGATTCCAGTATTCTGAGAAAATAAACGTATGAAAAACACTTTGCGTCTTTAAATACGGTGAAAGGATTGAATAAGAGTTTATTAGAGTATTTTAAACCAGGAATATTAGAAGCTCCTTTATAAAACTTATTGTTACTGCTGATTGCGAAAAGTATATACTTTGCGAAACTTGTGGTTAAAAATTCAAAAAGACGAAATGCTCTATTTTAATCAAAGAATTTATTTATACCAGTAAAAAAATTTTCGTCTAGAATTGCTACCCAGCATAGTTTGTACTAAACCTCTCATTAACTATATTCGCAATACTATTCCAAAAATGCACCCTACTACTGCCAGGGATATCAAGATACAGTACTGTACTCGTCGATAGTAGGCGCAATTGATCGTCGTCCACATTAAAAAAAAATGTCTGCGATAATAATACTCAACTGAGATATACTTATTTCTTATACAATTATATATATGGGATTTTTTTATCGTGTCTACATCGCATCTCATCATGCATTTATCGCATCTTAATTACATAGGTGTTGAAGATTTTGGAGAATTTTATGCACTGGTTCACATTCAATAGCCCTATAAGGTACAGGAGCGATATTCCTATATGTAATAAAGATTATAAGAAAGAAAGTGCATGAGATAATTTAAAAGGCGAGTGGGTAGTGAGGATTATCTCAGAAACTTATCGTATTAATTGATATAAAAATCATCAAAATTAAATTCAAATGGTAACTGTGAAAGCACAAAATAAGAAATTTTGTGTTTATCTATTGTTGACTAAATGCCATATAGCTGGAGGCCTATTGATTATTTGAATAAGTTGCAAGTATATACAATAATCAGATGAAACAAATAATACAATATAAGAGTTCAATCTTTAGTATAGATTATCTATTAGAACACTAAATGTAAATATAATTCTCTTTACTAGGTATATCACAATTATAATTTAGGTAATACCTCACAGACTATATATATATATGTATATCTATTGATTAAATATTTACATCTGTTTACTATTCTACGTATTTTAGAAATTCCCACTTTAAAATTTTTCTATTTAAATTTTTTACCTTATTTTTGCTACCTTGAAAAATTTGCAACCTAGTTTTACCATCGTTTATAGTCAGAGAATCATCAAATTCTTCCAAAAAGAGAAAACGAATCGATGAAGAATCATGCAAAATTGTTCCAATTCGCAGATCATTATTATAGATCTGATGGAATCAAAAATATTTTTTCATTATTTATTACACAAGATGACATAACATGATATCACATAATGTAATAATAAATAGCCTTTTGACTATTTGTAAGTATTATTAAATTAGTTATATGTGAGATAACTACTGATAGAATCAATACTGCTATAATTTAACTCTTGTTAATTGATTGAAAAAGCTGAATTTTTTGAGGGGTTTGTATTTGTAATATATAACATAGTCACGTGCAACCAATTAATTACGTTTTTTTAAATTTATGCAGGATTTCGTAATCCAGAATTTTACTCGAAAACAATACACGTATGCTGTACAATATGTAGGGGGAAACCACCCTATCATTATTTTTGATAATAAATCTCTGCTTCAATACACTAAATAATTTGTTATATATGGTATATGATTGTAACAGACTCTAATTATAGTGATTACATAAAGCTTTGTGTTATTTGAGAGTTGAATTGTATTAATATATATAGGAACATTGCAATATTATATGTAATCATTACATTGTATAAATTTGTACAAATTTTTTTCTAGAGCTTCAGTAACATAACATATATGTACCATAATCTTTAATGGATCGATATTCGTAGTTTAAACAATTGATTGAAAATGGACTCACCCACAATTCATAAAAGTTGATTGGAGATGCCATTCGTAGAAAAATATAACAGAGTTTAATTATAATTCGTTTAGAAAAAGTATTGTTATTTAACAACACAAATGGCGGATGTTAAAAAGGCTAATCAAATAGAATTTGATAGAAACGTTATTCTCAATTATTTAAGAGATGATCAGTATAAAATAGAAGATAAATATTATAGAAGTTTTACAAGAGAGGTGGGCTTTCTTGCTAATAGGTAATTTAAACCGGTAGGGAATTAATTTGATCAAATGCTTATTAATAAATAGGTTCGGAATTTAACAAGGTTAAATGGATTTGATAATGATATTATTCAACAATAAGAACAGTCACACGTATTTTTAAAAATTGCGACTAATTTATTTTTTAGAACTATCTCTAAAATTTCACTGATATTTCAATGTACGTACGATCAAGATCTCAAGACGTATTTGCAAAAAAAGTTCAGGGAATTGGATTGGCCTAGAAAAACATACGTGGAAAAAGATGTTACTGGTGTTTGTTATGGTAAGCTTTAGATCTTCACGTAAGGCAAAAAACAATTAATACATACTGTATGTACCGTAATTCATAATATTTTAATATAATCCAAAGAACAATATTTGTCTATAATGACAAATTAGTAATCACCGGGTTTTAATTTTCATTATCTCTTGATAGATCAAATTAATATCTTGAAACTTACGATTATTTAGAATATTTGGACTCAGAATCAATAGATCCGCTACTCGTCTCAACATATGGTAGAAAAATAAATCATCAGATGCCTATTTTCTCGGGGTTTTTTATGGGAAATATTAAGTGATATTACTTTTTTTAGTGACAAACTTAATCTGGACAAGGAAGTTTTGATATCTGGATCTAGAGAAAATCTCGTTGATGGAACTGCAGTAGATTGCAATGAACTTTATTGTAATTTGTGGAATGACACTCCTGAAAGGCGTCCCTCGGCTGAAGATGTTAACTATGACCTTGAAATAATTCACTTCAGACCTGTATATAAAAGATCCAAATTCCGGAAATTTATCCTAAAGAAAATTTATGTTCTACGACAGAGAATGGAGCTTTTTAAATTGTTATGCAGGGTTTGCCACTAGATCAATGTTTTTTTATTAATCAATTTGAAACGCTAATTGGAAGAGACCTTATAAATTATATTATTATCAAGGAGAAGTTTCTAGGAAACACAAAAAAATAACTAATTGCCATGGAAGTGTTTACATAGTTGATTATAATTCGTCATATTGAACTTTTATTAATGGCCATAAACTAGAACCATATAAAATCTATTTTTTTTTAGAAAAAAGGAGTTAATTCAAATGGGAAACTGTATACTTCACCATTTTCTAGCAGGATAATACGAAAATCGTCTCGATCCCAAACTACAAATTTGTAACACAGGTTACTTCAAGAAATTATGTAAGAAAAGTTTAAAATATTAATGATAAAAGGTCAATGTTAAGTTTAATATTTTTTGATATAGACTATTTTAAAAAAATTAATGATGAAATTGGACACGAAGCAGGAGATTACATTTTAAATTAATCAGCAAATTTAGTTAAAACCAGGAATATTCGCCCACAAGATATTTTTGCAAGGTATAGTGGTGACGAGTTTAATATTCTTAGAGATACCGCCGCTGAATAAGCCTATAAAATTGTAGGGGCAATTCGAGTCTCGATCAAAGATCATTCGTTTAATTATAGAGAAAGGAAACTAACTATACACTTAGTATGGGAGTTGTATAAGTAAATTCTTTAATGAATTCTTTTGAAGAATTACGTATAATTTCATATGAGGCTCTACAAGAGGTTAATAGACAAGGTCGGAATTGAATGTTTATGTGGAAAAAAGGTAAAAGTTTATTAGGTATTTGAATTTCTAATAATCTTTAAGACCTATATTTTTTTACTTATTAAAAAAATTATTTAAAATCTTATATAACAGAGTGTAAATATACGAACTTATTATGGATTTGAGTATGACTAACAATTTGTGTTTTCTCAAATCTTTAATGGAAAACTATAAGTGAAGATTTCTTCAGAAGTTTTGGTCATGTCTCTAGAGAAAATATCTGATACATCATCATTTGAAAGGTTTGATGATAATACGAGCGCTCATTTAGAGTTGCATCTCAGGACTTATGTTACGGTTTGGAGAGGATTTATTATACTAATATTTATCTTAAGACAAAGTTTCGAGAAAAGTTGCATCACTGCTTAATTAAATTTGCAGTAATTCATTACAATTTTACGCACAATAGAAATCATCATAATTACATAGTTTCATGGAATTATAACATAAATTTCCTTCTTAGTACTAACAAGATTTTGATCACATATTATACAATAAGCTATATCATTATTATCAGGATGTTTACAAAAAAAATTTGTATGACTTTTATTAATTCTATCACTATTACTATTTTTGCTTAAATTATTTTTGTTTTTTGCAACTATTTAAAGGAGCCGTTAAACTTGTAGAAGTAGAAACTTCTATTTCAGATGTGGAAAAATATTGCTCGCTAAGATCAGGATCTGAGGAGATAGAAAAAAATAGTCATTTTACATTAATATTGAAATTATTGCTTTATGTTATATTTATTAGAATTATAAAGACTTATCTTATTAGCAATATAATAAAACTTATTGTATAGTGATTAACTTTTGTAGAGAAATAATAGTCATCTTGAAAACATTCGAAAAGATTCTGTCCACATTATCGTGATACCTGCTAGATTTATACAAAAATTTTTTTATTATAACTTTATTTTACCCCTTACAGTATGTAGCCTGGCGCAAGTAAATAATATTTTATCAATATTAACTGAAGACGAAAATCATCAAGCATTAATAAAAAATGGAGAAATAATTTGGCAGCATGTGTTTGACGAATATTAATAATTGTCACAAGTAAGCTATGAATTTTTAAATAACAAACCAGGATTTATTGACATAATTCGAGAGTTTTTTATCGGTTTTTTTAGTTTTGGGGGTTTTTTCTTAAGTTTTTTTAAGTTTTCAAGTTTTTTAGTTTTTTTTTTGTTTTTTTCGGGA